AATGTGAGAATTAATTGCCATATCATCCTGTAGACAAAAAGTGTAATACAAATTTTTTTTTTAATTGGTTTACATGTAGATCATTCCCAAATTAAAACACTTACATTCAAAATTATAAAAATGCAGATCTTCACTGAAGCCATTATGATCACGTTATTTATGAGATTATGTGTGACCTAAGATTTTCTATTATCCCCCACCCCCTAAAATATTAGCCAATATATGTCAGCGCCCTTATATACTTTATTGATCTTTTAATGCATAATTCCTATTTGTTTCAATGTTACAGAAATCAGAGGCCCTAGCTGGGTATATTTTCTTGTAAACCTTTCCAGATATAGTTACAATGTTGCCTTACATACCTTTTGGCAGCACTCCAATACATTTCTATATGGGACATACTGTACTAATAGTAATACTAAGACAAAGTGAACATTATGTCACACAAAATTAAAGCCATCTTTTGCATAATGATCCATGATCACAAATTCACTGTGCATTAACAAGAAAACTTATTCAAGTAGACAATTTTTTATACAACAGTATATCTTTGTTTTTCCAAGTGGTTTCAGATATTGATCCATCCCTTAAAACTCTGTGTGGATTTCTCAGTGTATTCAAATCCACTAACCAAAATGCCTTTATTATTATTATTATTATTAAAATTTTCAAAGTGAACTTGTTATCTAAATTTAAATCGATTCTGAGGAAATTTCTTATGTTATCATTTTCAATATCCTTCCAGATCTCCCTTATTTGTTTTTATAAACAGAAAGACACATACCATTCAAAAATTAACAGAAACTTGTCAATGCTTCTCATGTGGGGCATGCTGCAACAAAACCAAACAAAGTGAACATTGGTATTACCAATGACTTCATGGGATCAATATGTTTGTCTAATATCACAACCATATTACCAATATAATGTGATCATGATATTTGTCTAGACAAAAATAATTAATATGAAATTAATTTATATCAGATCTACCATGGTCTTATAGCACCATTAGAAGTATTCTGAATATTCTGAAAAAGGAACAAGGTGAAAAAATTGCTCCTTATATTTTCAAAATAAATTGATACTCAGAAACTTGAAGCTTATCTAAGAAAAGAAAAGATTACCTATGAAATTTACCAAGAAGAAAGAAAAATCATAAACATTAAAAAAAGAAAGCAGAACAAAGATATACTATTACCCAACCAAAAGCAGAAACCTTTGAACAAAAAAAAGCTAATACAAATAAACTTACTGTCTATTTTTATCTTTCTCAATGAGATTCCTGAAACCAATACTAATGTTCACTCCAACTATAATTTAAATATCCTTTTTGATGGTTGAGCACTGACCTTTTTTTTTTGCAAAACTATTTTAAGAATTGTTTAGAACAAGAAAAATAACCATGAGTAGAAAAGAATGTTTAATTGTCACAATACAAAAGAAGGGTTAAGTTTTAATTGATGAGATGAAAAAGAAAGAAAAATCATTAAATTTTGTTGCTGAGTTGTGCACAAAATTTAAATGAAATATTGCCAGTTCTTAAAGATATCATGAAAAAGATAAACAGAATTTATCATCCTGTAGGCTTCTGATTTACTATACCAACTGGAAAACTTGCTGCCCTATAAAAATTTTTTCCAGAAAATGTATGGAATTATACATGAAAAGAGTGCTTTTTCGTACATATTTGTCCTGAAATACATTCTGCACATTTTCAGGACAAATATGTACAGAAAAGTGTATAATTCTTTACATATTCCATACAAAATACATGGAAAGTGTATGGAAAAAACATACATTTTCTGAAAAAAAATTTATAAGGAGGCCATGCATAAATGAAACTTTTAATAATGCATGTCTACCCAGATCTCTGGGATTCACAAAAATAAAAATAAATAGGATGATCAAAAAAATATTATAGTTCCTTATGAATAATAAATCTGATGTTGATCACAAACATGCATTAAAATGCTTTCACATACCTCATAACTGTGGATTTTTTCCACAAGTGAGACCATACACATGTTGGAAGGCTTTGGTCAAAACTTCACTTATTCCTCTCAGACCAGGCTTACCATGTGGCATTGATCACTGATAGCTAGTGCTTGTGTGATGTTTACTTTGTGTTATACCTCTCTAGAATAGTCAGTGTTAAGACTGTTCAAATTTCTCCAACTCAGGAGGTTGTAACTTGGGTTGCTGTTTGAATTTTCCCTGGATTCAGAGTTTGGATCCTGGGTTACTGTCTTATTGGTCTCACCAACAACCCTACCCCCATTTATTTAAATAACAAATTCAGTTGGTCAAATAAAATTAAAGAAACAGAGAATTTGTGAAAATGGTTAATTTATAACATACTAACCAAACAAAGTTTGAGCCGTTTTTATTTTACAGCTTTCACCTTGATGCCAGCAATTATGGTGACCATTACAATAGGAGTGAGCAGAATCGAACTGCAATATTTATACTTGTGAGATACATGCTCTCATTGAGCTACAATCTTTTATTTTAGGGTGGATTATATGGGCAAAAGCCCCATTTGGTCAAATAAAAATCAAAAGAAACAGAAAATTTATGGGAATGATTAATTTATAATGTAACATACTAAAATCCAAACCTTTTTCTTGTTGGCCATGTTGCTGACAAAGATGTATATAAACATGTGATAATTTTAATTTACAGGATTGACAAAACCCCATTCAGTCCCCTATCCAAAATTATAAACTAAAGGATATAATAAAACTAAAAATTTTAATTTTCTTTATGGATCAATTTTGTTGTAATGTTCTAATTGATTCCAATATTCCAATTGCACATCACTGCCCCTAGGTATTACTACTTCTTTACAGGTCGACCAATCCTGTTATCGGTCATGCGACGATCTGATTAAATCCAGAGATCGAATTACGCGACACGCGTCATGATTAAATTTAAACACAAATTTTTGATTAATTAAACTCGTGATACGTTTCTCTTTATGAAAATTTTCATAACTTTCATCTGCATATTTATATAATATTTCCTAGTTATTTTCGTAAAATGCATTTGCTACTTGAATGTGCTAACGCTCTGAAGTACTGTGTAAGACGCATTGTGAGTGATTTCTCGTGACAATGTTTTCATAGGTAACCTGTTTGTAATATATAGCCTTTTGGCAGAACACAGATAATCCTTCGCTCAAAATCTTTTTAGAATTCTGAGTTCACATTGGTGATTTGAAAGATCCAGAAACGGAGCACCGTCGATAGAAACTTGAATTGAATAATATTATTACATATTACCGAAATCGGAAAGAAGGCACTGAAATGGAAAGAAAGTTTTAGGGTAAGTATACCTGTTTTATTTATTTGGACTGTTTTCATAGACTATTTTGTGAGTTGCTTTCTCGCACGGACACCTTATGAGTTGCCTTCTCGTCCGTAATAGTCTTCGGATTGCTTATTCGCGACAAAAGCTTGCTTGCTTGTCTGTGGCTTGATTATGCTGCATTAGTTGCATGTTGTGTTCAATTAATTTTATATTCTATTTGATTAATTCTATAATTTGCTTTTTGATAACAGGGATGATAAAAGGTCGAAACTGATAAAACTCTTTTGGAATATGCAAGATATCATCAAGGAATCTGAGATAGTTGATAAAAAATCCCAATTACAATGGGTAGGTTGTCTTTACGGATATATCTTGAGTTAAAAAAAAATTTTTTCTAACTTTATTTTCGGTTTTCAGAAAGAAGGATTGATAGAGTTTGAAAAAACAGGTCTCCATCATCTTAAAGAAACTTCATATTCCTTACAACAAAAGCAAATCTTAAGTTATACATCTAACAAGCCATCATATACATCGACACATAGAGTAACAATCTCCAATGTTTAAGATCACGAATAACTTACCAACATGTTTACACCTGAGTCAGTATTAACAAAGTTTGATGTTTCTTAATTGTATTTAGTCATCTGATGACATTGTATATATCTACAACCGAATGAAGATTTTAATTCAAGATTGCTGAAGACTATTATAACTGAAGATGAGGGGAACAACAAGAAGAAGAAGAAAACCAACAAGAAGAAGAACAACAATAAGAAGAAGAACAACAACAAGAAGAAAACCAACAACAATAAGAAGAAGAACAACAACAACAACAAGAAGAGCAACAACAAGAAGAACAACGACAAGAAGAACAACAAGAACAACAAGAGCAAGAAGAACAACAAGAGCAAGAAGAACAAGAAGAACAAGAACAAGAAGGGCAATCAAAAGCTTTATCAAGAAAACAACAATTGGTTTGTGATATAGCTGTTAATAAACATGAAAATATATTTTTTACCAGTTCTGCAGGAACTGATAAAAACATCACGAAGTTGATCCAACATTCACCCTATATTTTATTAAGTACAGTTGTTTGATAAATACTTAAATTTTATATTAACGTAATATACTTTAAACATTAAATTTAAATACTTTATAAATATTTTTTAAAAAAATACTTTTAATTTAATATTTATTAATTAGAATAAAGATATATTATTAATTAAGCATTTAAATTTACTATTTAAAAAGCATTTAATTATTTAGTAGTATTTAATAGTATTTAATAGTTATTTACAAAGTAAATTCTAGTTTACTAAATTTTGGTATAATATACAATGTATTTATCATTGAAGCAATAGGAATTAAAGTATAACGCTCTACATGTTATTGCATCTGTTCTTTCATCGAGTACTTTATTATCCTTTCGGTATTCATTTCTTTCTTATTGGTAATAAATTAAAAATACTCAATCTCCATGTACCATGTTGTGCGCGTGAAATTCAAATTAGCCAATTAGAATTTTGTATCCAAACACCAAAATTATTATAACATATAAAAGTTTTCAAGAAACATTTGAAACCTTTTAATATACATATATAAAAAGAATAAAGTTGCAATACAAAAATGTTGTACTTTATTAAATATCAACTGACGGATTTTTTTTACATTTTAATTTTTACCCCAATTAATTATTTAATTGTTAATGGTTTTTGACCTGGTAATCTTTTGAAAGCATACTTGTAAACCTTGAAACCAGACACTCCTACTTCTTCCCACCATCTTTCAACTCTATATAAACCATCATAACGATAGCTATATATCAAAAAAAAAAAAAAAGTAAATATAAAAATTTTTTATATCGTATTGAATACCAATAATAATATTATTATTTATTATACTTACCCTTCACTTGGTGCATACTGATTATTTAATTTATAACCTCTAATAGATTTATAAAAATATTTTAAAGATATATATATATATATGAAAATTATTTATATTAATATAATTAGGTAATCATATAAAATTACCTAATGACCCTAATTGGTTTTTTAGTTTCAAACGAAATTTTCAAAGCAAGGTTTCCACAAGTTAAAGTTTGATCTTTTGACTATAATTTAAAAAAAAGAAAAATTTAATTGAATAGTTATTAAAAAAGATTTTCTTAAAATGAAAAATAATACCTGAGGAGCGGTTCTTAAATTTTTAGGATTATCTGCGGTTCCTCTCAAGTCTCTACCACCAGATCCGGTATAAGTAAAAGCTTCACCTAAAATCAGTCATACGCATTTATAAACATATATATATAGTACGATAAAAAAAAAATTTTTTTATGTTAAATATATATTAAATTTATCAACCCCAATCAACGTCATCTTCATATCCCTAAATAAAAGTTATATTTAATTATATTTAAATATAAATTTTCCAAAAAAATAAAAGAAAAAAATAGTTAGCAATAACTCACGCCAGACAATGCAACACTTGTTGCCCCTTCACTATAATAAGCAATACCAGCAACAGGCGGTCTATTTTGAATATTGCAATAAAAACATTAATCTATAATCTAACTATTTATTTATTTATCTATTTATTTATTTATTTATATTAAATTCATAGCATTTCAATTTTATCAAGCCACTCACCCATGGACTCCTGCATGACAACATTCCATACGAGTGAACCACCAAGTACCGACTGGAACGTTAGGAATTTCACCGAATTGTTTTGGATCAGGTCGTGTTTCACGCCAATTTGGATTTAATGGAGGTTTTGGACGATAAATTTTTCTAGGTCTTGCTTCATAATCATCACTATCTTCTTCATTACTATATTCATCATTACTATCTTCATCGGAACATTCATCCGTAAAAGATTTTGTTGGCTTAATTGTTTAAGAGATATTTATTTAGATTGTGCGTATATATATATATATATATGTATGTATATAGGAGGTAAAAAGGAGGTATTATACACTAGCCTTCTTTTGCTAGAAACCACCCATATATATTTTTATTCATATTATATGGATATACCTTATTTGCCAATCTTTTGGATCTTCTTGGACCACCTGCTGACCCTAAATTTTCAATAGTGATTGTTCTTGTTCTTAAAGACCTCAAGATTCTATTTTTTTCAACTCCTGCATAGCGTTTTCTTTTATTAGTTTTTTGAGTAGGAGGTTGTTTTTTTGGTGTTGGAGGTGGTTTTTGCAAAGAAAACGATAGTGGTCTCTCAAGACCCATTTCACGTAATATTTTCTGATTAGTCTCGATGTTTTCTTGACGTTTTCTCTCATATTCATTCATTTTGACCATTTTGACGCATAAGAAAAAGTGTTGTTATTTTACGTGAATGTTTTGTAAATTTTTGATTGGTTTGATTTGGTTTCACAATTTAGCACGTGATAATATTGAAGAAATCTTTATTTTATATATACAAAAAAAATATCTAAAAAAATGAATATAGATAATCACAATTAATCATATTTATAATACCAAACCTTTAAAGACATGATAAATGTCCAACTTGTAATAGAAATGATACAAATAAGTGTACTTCATAACTATTAGACTAGTGGGTAGACTAGCGGTGATGACACAATTGATAATATAATCAAAAGTACACAGTTTAACACGATGATTTTAATTTTATTATTATGAATAGATGAATTTACAAGGTCATATAGTTACATGGATAGATGGTAAAAAGTTTATAGATCGAAAATAATAAATAAAAATGAAGACTGAATTTAATTCAGATAAATTTTTAAAGGGGTTGTTATAGTTAAATATTACAATTTAATTTAATTTAATTAAAAAGGAAATAAATAAAGCTAGTTGATTAATTAAAAATTAATTAATGAAATATATAATGTTTCCACTTTTTATTATTATTCATGGATTCGTGAATTATTATGTTCTTAAAAAGAAGGCTTGTCGAGTCATTGGTTTATTTATATTTTTTTTTTGTATCTATTCCTTCATCAGTTGTTCATGAATCCCGTGACGAATTGTGGGCGTGATGATAAAGATGGGAGCAGGGTATACATAATTAATTGTTTTGGTCTTCTTTTCCTTTCAGACAAGGTGAATATTTTACCGTGCTTATTAGTCTTCTTTCTTACCGATTTAAAGTCGCATATATTATTTACATCTTTTAAAACCCATGTTGATTGCAATTCAAATTTTCTTCATCAATTTCACGGTCTGAATATTAAGCATCATTATTATTGTTATTAGAATGACACATATTCCAAGTTCTTGGCTTATACGCGCAATAAATAAATATTAAGAAATATCAACTGGCTCAGCCTCAGAGAATTTATTTGCTGCACACACAGCCTTCTCGTATATTATAATTATTTATCAGCCGATTGTAAAATATGAAAATAGATTAAAAAAAAATTTTTCATGTTTTTTTAACTAATGTCGAAAATAAATAGTAATAATTATAATTATAATAATTTCATCAACTTGAATGACGACGAATGTTCACGCGACGAAAAATCGAAAAATGATTCAGTTTTGAAATGGAAAACATTTTTTAGTAGTGAAATTTATAATGAAAAAAATGAACTTTACAATGCTAAAAATACAATTTCAATCGAAGACTTGGTTTATGATGCCAAAGGGTAAGAGAGTTTTCGCAAAATATGAATTAATGCATAAAATTTATTTATATTTAATTGTTATTATTATTGTTGTTGTTGTTGTTGTTATTATTATTATTATTATTATTATTATTATTATTATTATTATGATTATTATTATTAGAATGCTAAATGCGAAAATCACTTGGAACTCTTTCATCAAATTATGGAATGGACAAGATGATGTTAACGTGTTTTCCTGGCGAAATTCTGATACCAAAAAGAAATATTCGGAATGTGTCCAATTCTTATCTACAATGGTATTATTGTTATTTATCATCATCACCATTGTCGTTGTCATTATATTTATCAATAAATTTTTGTTATAATTAAGGAAAAACCTGTTCCTTCAGCATCTACAATTAGTAATAACACACTCGATTCGACATCGTCATTATCGTCATCATTATATAACAATATGCTTGAACAAAAGTCATTTGAATCCAAGAGTGTTGATGTAGGACACAAAAACGTAGAAACTAATGGAAATTCATGGACTTCATTCCTATATTCCATGAAATCTAAAGAACCTAGTGTCTCAACTGCACCTACTACATCACCAAGAAAACAGACCTTTGAAACAGAAAATAAAATAAAATCGACAAATAAAGGTGGCGATACTGAATTAATTAACTTGAAAACTAATAATTCAGATTTTGGTAACATGATTTCTGCCAATAATTATAATGATGACGTTGATGATTATGACGACGATGACGATGATGATTATGATGATTGTGATGATGGTACTTTTTTATTTAATACGATGTCTAATAAACAAAAAAAAATATCATCATTACCACCAAAGAAAAATATTGGAAATTTCATTTCCACAAATCCATTTCCGACAAGGATACATCAGCAGCAGCAACATCACCACCACCATGGTCGTGTAACAGAATTGACAATTGATTTATTGTATTCTGATTTTAAAAATATTAGTTCTAGTTCATTATCATCAGAATTTGGAGAAATGGTTTCAGCAAATGATTTGGAAAATCATAATAAATTAATATTAACTGCAGATTTAATTGATTTCACTAGTTGAAAATGGTAAATTTTAAAATCAATACGATTATTAAAGATAACTTAATAATAATTACCAGAAATTTTTGTTTAATTTGTGTATATACAAGTATTATATCCGGAATCCAAAATCACTTCAAAGTAAAACCATTTATGTTGATGAAAACAATAAAAAGAGAAAAATTCAAGTTTTCTAAAAAATCATCTAATTGTTTTATTTATTTTTTTCTCACGCCTTTAATTTAATGACAATCAACGTCGATCATGGTTAACATAATAAATTTTTTTTATTTGGAACTACATATTCTTTTCTAATGAAAAAAAAAAATTGTTCTAAATACATTTACTACAAACATAAAACATAATTAACATTCATCGATATGGCAGCAGAATCAACGACTCACAATAATGTTTCTTTTAACACTAACACTAGCACCAGTACTAATTGCTTCTTCTAAGACTAACACGAACACTAACCACTATCACAACACAACAACATGCCAATGGAAAAGAAAATTACACCTCCCACTAACATTATGGAAATTGTTTGGCTTTTCGTGCACGAGTATTATGCTTACAGCCCAGCCATCTTCACTGTTTTTGTGGTAAAAATTCCTGTTTAATCCATAGTATTGAAGGTGAATCAGTGAAAACTTTGTTTGGTGAAATGGTATGATTTTAATATACAATACTATATTTATATAAATCTTTTTAAAATGATAATAGGAAATTAATGAAAAAATTGAATCATTGAAATATAAAAATTGTAAAGTTACCGTTACAAACGTGGATTGCCAAGCATCGAATGATAATGGAATATTAATTCAAGTGGTGGGTTTTGTGAGCAACAATGATGATAAAGTACCAAAAAAATTTGTACAAACATTTTTTCTTGCAACACAAACAGATGGCTACCATGTTTTAAATGATATTTTTTGATACCTAAATAATGTGATGATGATGACGACGACAACGATGAAAGTGATTTAGATGGCAAGGTCGAAAATGACTATGACATTTGTTTGAATGTTGAAAATCCAAACTTTACAAACAAAAGAAAGCCTCAAAGATTACCCCTCTTCAACATCTCCAGTTGAAACTTTGGTCGAGGAAGATATTGGCAAATCTGTTTTCTTGGAATCTATTGATGGATCTATCTCTTCCACCAGTCATGTAAATACTTCTGACGTTAGCAACACATCAATCCCTCCCATCACTACTGATAAGGCTGATTACGCAACTTTTAATCACAAACTACTGCAAAAAATGATCAGAAACTGATCAATCAATAAGATCATCTTCTGTCTCAGAACAACAACAACAAAAATCAATTGTTAAATCAATCACTCCTAATTCAACCACGCCACCTGTTATCCAGCAAAGTCACTTTGCTAATCAAATAAATACTACTCAATCAAACAATGATCAATCATCAACAATAGGCACCTCATCTGCTCAAACTATTCCTAATAATACTACAACCACTACCAAAAGCCAAATTATCAAATCACCCGTTCCTAAACCTTCAATACTACCTGTTACAACAACACAACCAATTAACAATACTAATCAGCCAGCTACTCAAATAAATAATGAACAATCATATTTAGTAACTTCAATTGCCAATCAATAAGTTAACAATCTTCAAAAGAATGCAACTTTGCAATCTACAACTTTTATAAATGACAAAGCTTCCACCAAACCTCAAAATTACTCAGAAGCTGCTGTCAAAACTCCCTCTAAAAATGATTTACCTCCTCCAATAAGCGCTCATTAATCATCAAAAGATATCTCCACAAGGAATTAACCAACATCTTGGTGAACCTCTTGTCGTAGAAAGCTCTGTCTCGTCCAAAATTGCAACAATAACAACAGCGGCATCAGCTACCAACGCAAAACAATAATAATGTACAAGTGGAAAGGCCTGATCAAAAACATATAGAGTCTGTTCAAAAAAAGAATCCAGCTGATTCAACTTTATCTATTAATCAAGTCACTGACAAATCTGTTGATAAGAAAAATAGCAGCGACTTTAACCAACCACAAAATAACACTAATCAATCAATTGAAAATCCCAAAGATACCGATCAAAAACAATTAAATGATAGTCAAGCTGGACCTAAATTGCCGACTCCTCCAGTCAAAACATGGACGAGCTTAGCAGCAAATGGAATTGACAAGTGGAAGAATGATTTGTTATATGACAACACCAAAGGACCTTTATCAATTGCTACGATAAAACTTCAAAACAGACCATCACAACAGCAACAAATCGTGATAATAAGGAAAACCATGAACATTCCCAAGATGAGAAAGGGCTCGGTGTTCGACGTGTTAGCGGTTAGTTAAATAATAATAATAATAGTCTCTATCATTTTCTTTTTTTGTTTATTGCATATATCCATATATATATATATATATATATATATATTTAGAAACTGGACTTTTAATTTATGTTAAGAATGTTAAAAATGGTACGACTTGTCATTTATTGAAAAGTAAATTTTCAAAATTTGGTAAAGTTAAACATCTTGATGTTGTTCCCACGAGTGTAAGTAATAATTTTACAATTGAAAAAAGATTTTTTTTATGTTCAAAGTTACTAATATATAAACAAACAAATAGAACTGTGCATTCGTAGAATTTTTTACATCAGAGGCATACTAAAATGCCCTCAATGCAAAAACTTTTGTGGATGAATACAATCAACCTTTATATTGAAGAACGTCGACCATCCCAACACAATAATAGTTATAACGGATAACTACAAAAGTGGTCAACGTATTTATAATTATACAGACTTGATTTTTTAAAGAAAAAAAATTAATATGATTTTATAATAAAGTTATCTCCTAATCTTGATGTTTAATTAATAATTCGTCTTCTCATCTCTTTCTAAAGTAATTGGTCCTTTTTTAAATATACTCGCTCAATTTAAATGGTAAAGTTCCTTTCCAATTTTTCATTTAGAACCATCAGAAATAAAATTTGATTTAAAACAATAATGGCCAATATTTTATATCACCATCTAATAAGCATTCTAAATCTCGTCAATGTTGTCCAATTATATTCAATATCATTTGAAATCACCATCAATATCAATACCAAAACGTTTAAGATTCTTTCATAAATCAATCAGTCAAATCATTTATTCGCAAAATTATATTTATTAAAATAAATATGATGAATAAATCGATTTATGAATTAATAATATATAAATTACATATTGCGACAAGGAAAGTGAACATAAAAATCAGAATTGTATTGATAACGAATTTATAATCTCTTGCCTGTGTTTTATTTTTGCATTAAAACCAAATTAAGCAAAAGTGAAGGAAAAAAACCAATTACACAAAATATATGAAAAGTATTACGACCACAACCATTATCGCTACTATCTGTATACAGAAATTAAATATGTCAATTAACAAAAATCCACTGTTAATAATGATGGGTGGGATTGCTAGCAAAAAGATGTGGTGATTGCGTTGGGCGATTTACCCAATTGGACACATGCTCAACACTGGTTTATATGTAAGTTTATCAAATACCACCTATAATTATGCTTCTATACTTGGTTAAAAGTTTAACAACTAAAAATAATTGGTGAGAAAGTTCGCCCAGAGTGAACGTTTGGGTTGTTAAAAAAAAATGAAGAAATCACATTCAATTATTATTAATCAATGGTTTCCCAATAATACATCAAGATACATGCACTCCATTAGTCAGATGCTATCGACAAAAGCGTGTCAAACCAAGTATAAACTATCTTCTCTCGAAGCTATCTATTGCCTGGACTTCTTTCTATTTTCAAGTGACATTGATCGTTTACTCCGGAACAGGGTTTTACACATTGATGAATTTAGCAGATTCGGAGCTTCTATTTTGAAAGGAAAATTTTGATGCAAAGTTTAAAATATAATTTATTTTCAACGATATTTTGAAAAACCCTCTCGTGACAATTCATTCAAAAATCACATGTAAAAATGGTTGGCCTGCACCATATTAATTTAGTATAAGTTCGACATTATCACATGATATAAATGATGAACCATCTTTCAGAAATTGTTAATTATTATTATGACTGATATTTCATCAATTATTCAAGGGGGATATAATCATCCTACAAGCAGACTTTGGCAATCCGAAAGAACTTTAAAAAAATCAAGTTTAATCTATCCAATTTTTATAACAGATATAGCTGATGCTGAAGAAGAAATAAGTTCTTTGCCTGGTCAAAAAAGGTATAGAAACAGATAGATAGACAAATTAATTAATATATAATGATTTTGATGAATTTACTTTTCAAAAAAATTAGATGGGGAGTAAATAAACTTGAAGGATTTATTGGGCCATTAGTTAAAAAAGGTTTGAAATCTGTAATGTTATTTGGAGTTCCTACTAGCGGAAAGGTTTGCTCAAAAAATATTTGAAATTTATTTTATTTTCTTATCTCATAATATATCCATTTCACACATATGTTTCTTTAAAAAATAATAAATCATACATATAGGATGAAATTGCTACGATAGCTGATGATGAGAATGGACCTGTAATTCTTTCGGTGAAATTACTTCGTGAAAAATTTCCTGAATTATTTATAGTGTGTGATGTTTGTCTTTGTGAATATACAAGTCATGGACATTGTGGTAATTAAAATTAACACCAAGTGATAATTTATATTTATGTCATACATGCTTGTGGAATATATTATTTTGTAAAGCTAATTAATTTCAAAATCAAATGTTTTTGATAGGATATTTAAATAAGGATGGAACTATAAATAATGCAGCTAGTGTTAAACGATTAGCTGAAGTTGCAACCAATTATGCAAAGGCTGGTTAGTTCTATCTATCTATATTTCTTGTTTTTTTTTGTTTTTTTGTAATAATTTTAAATAAATAGGTGCGCATTGTGTGGCACCATCTGATATGATGGACGGAAGAATTAAAGCTATAAAAGAATCATTGATATGCGAAGGTTTAGGCAATAAAGTTGCTTTAATGAGTTATAGTGCTAAATTTGCTAGTTCATTCTATGGACCTTTTAGGTACCTTTTAATTATTTGTATTGATTTTACGCGTTTAATAATGAAATTAACTAATTGTATATAAATTCAATTAAATGCTACTATTATTTTTTAGGGATGCGGCAAATTCTGCACCTACATTTGGTAATCGTAAATGTTATCAACTACCACCAAATTCACGTGGATTAGCACGCCGTGCAATCATACGTGACATTGGTGAAGGAGCTGATATCATAATGGTTAAACCTGGAATGCCATATTTGGATATACTTCGAGATGCAAAAGAAATCAGCGAAAATTTGCCAGTAGCTGTTTATCAAGTTTCTGGTGAATTTGCTATGATCTGGAGAGCTTCTGAAGCAAAAGTTTTTGATCTTAAAGTCGCAGTATTTGAAAGTATGGAATCTTTCTTAAGAGCAGGTAAAAATGTTTTTTTTGTAATTTTATTTTTTAATTTAATTGAATCGTTAATTTAATTGTAATTTTATAACTTACATTAGGTGCAAATATAATATTAACTTATTATACTCCACAACTTCTTGAATGGTTGGATAATTGATTAGAATGTTGTAAATTATTTAAAAAAATTTTTCTTTCAAAAAGGTTGTATTTAATCATGAATTTAAATTTAAATTATTAAACACATTTTACATACCTGAAGGTGTATATTATTATTATTATTATTATTATTATTATTATTATTATTATATTATATTGTGCTAATCATCAACGCCTTGCCATTCATTAATTCTCATGACCCTATTTATTTATTTCCAAATCTTCTAGCTCTAACAAGTAATCAATATCACCGACTACCCAATTCCAACTCATTTTTAAATAATAATATAAATTTCTAAAAAATTGTTATTATTAAATAATTATCATTGTCATTATCATCTACCCTTTTTCATTAGATTTAAAATAAATTTTGATGGTGAATCAAAATGTGACGTTTCTAATCCAAGTAATATAATTCTTCTTGTTTGATCATTTGTATTGTCTTGATTTTAAAATATAATTGGCATCAACATCATCTATTCCTACATCCATCTTAAATTGTATTCTCTTTTTAATGTTCCAAGTCTTATATTAAATGTTGATGACAATAATAAAGATGATTTGATTGTCATCCATTCAAAAACAAAACATGTGGAAACACAAAGGATATATATTCCAAAGAAACCAATAGCTAAAGCTATTTTATCTGGGGAATATGCTAAAAATAAGGAAAAAGGTGCCAGATTGGAGGAGGTGCATTATCCCAAAATACAATGAATTGAGGCATTGTAATTATAATCCTGAGAGTAAGTACTTTGCTAAAAATGGCACTTTTTTTGTTATGTATTTTTAATGATTCTGAAAGCCTTATAAAAACCTTTTGTAAAGTATTACAACCATGTTATCTGGTTTTCACAATAAGGAAGGAAAATTGTGCTAATTAAAGTAGAGATAAAGCGGGTTGACATGTATATAAGAAATTTGATTTCACGTATAACTTTTATTAACTTTTGATAACTTATAACTTGATAACTTATAATAACAATAAAATATTTCTTAAAGAAATAACAAGATTTCAACCTACCCAATTATTATAACCACAAAACCAAAAACCATTCATTGGTATAAAAATTCCTGATCCACATAATTAAGTCCTCTATTGTCACCACCCAAAATAATCAATAGGTGACAACTCAGTGCAAGTTGTATGGATTGAAATCCATAGACTTTCTATTTCTTTTATCACCAGTAAGTTTGTTTTTTGTTCTGTTTTTGAATTGACTTTTTTCTTGGTTCTATTTCATTGATAGAATCGATTTATAAGCTTCATCATGAAGTAAGAAATCAAGAGAGTCCAAATAACAACCTGCAAAAAAGTTCATAATTGAAAATAGGCATTTTTTAAATGTTATTTATTGATTATTTGTTTTTTGCAATATGACAATCATAATTCATTACATTTGCATAAAGGAATAGTAATATTTATTGGTAGTATTTATGAATAATTTAATAATTTACGAAAATCTAATTAATTTAAACAAAATTAATTAACATAAGGAAAAAAAGAAAATTTAGGTGTTATGAAAATGGCGTTGCATATAGAGTATTAACTTGGTTTTTAATGGCTTTGTTTTGCAGAAATGAAAGATAGAAATTAAGACAAACCAAACCTTCTTGAATCTCTATTATCAAAGAAAAAGTTAAATCAATTGGCTTTGTAAGAAGCATATG